AATTTCGAAGAGTCTTTGAACATTGCACTGGTTTGTTGTAGTTTTGAGGATAGAATCGTTCTGTAGGAATTGCTTGCAAACACTTGACTATAGTTCCTAACCAATAGTTTCTGTGTACTTTTTAGCATCAATATTACCATTGATAAATGTTAGAGTAACTAGTCCACTCCAGCAGATAGGCCACGACCGGAACATATGCATCTTGACATACCCTCGCCTCCATATCTCTAAAATACACAGACGCGATTATTTTCTCCATTTACTCCAATGATCTTTTCTTTAATAAACAGCATAAAATTAACACAATTTCAACGACTTTTAACTTTCCAATGCCGTTTCCTTTCCACTAGTATTTTTAAGTTTACAGCTTTGATACGTGTTTTTTTTCTAGCAACATATCTGTGTTATTTAATTCGAAATAAGGTCTTTTACAAAGATACTTTTGAAACAAAGTTTTCATGAAAATGGTCTGAAATGTCACAATTTTAAGAGTTTTGGCATTATGCGTTCTGTCTATATACTTTGAATTTGATCTTATATTTTTCAAAATCTTGATAACGCGCAGGTATGTGAAGAAAGCATATTAGTCATTTCTCGGAAATTTTAGACTTTTTAAAGAAAATTAAGTTTGATAATTTACCAAATACTCTGATAAATGTAAACTGTTATTAACTATTGCAGACAGATTGAAGAGTGTCTACAGCAAAGACATGCATCACAGCCACAGGATCACGTGACTTCTATAAATAGTGAAATTTCCCTTAATAAAAAAGCTAACGGAACAACACTACCTCGGAGTTTAATAATTTCTTTGAGTAAATAATATAGTTGAAAAACATCTATTTTTCCTAAAATGTGCTGCTAGGATCTCACAGTCCTGTCACTGAAATAATCATTTCTCACATTTGCATGAAACCCTACCCAATGTTTTGAATTTTATGCATATGACCGAGATTTTTTGTAAAACCATGCTCAACTCGGGATTCTAGCAGCACTTTCCAGGTTTATCATAAGGCAAACTTTCCATCTATATCTTATCTTTTGAAATTTCCAGCTTATTGTTCTGTTGCATTATTTTTGTCACGAACGACGGAGGAAAGGCCGACCGGTATACATATACAGCCGACTGTCTTTGAAAGAGTATGTTTACATGTTTCTATTCATTTTCTATAGTTAAATTACATCTATATAAATACTAATATAACGAAAAGTTTTGTTATACGATTGAATCATCTCCCCTACTATGACGTCATAATGTAGCACTGATTTAGTCAAGGTAGAATATTTTGTATGCTTCCTTATCACCCCTGCGCGTTCATCTTTCCTATTATCTGTTTTCCTTTCCCATTCTGTGTTTCATAAATCAAATGACGTATTTTATTGCGTCGAAATCATAATGATATCTAACTCAAACACAAGCCGATATTTAATACATTTTTCTTCATTGTTTTATTACATGTATTATTATTTAAGTGCAAAGCGATAGAAGTAATATGTGTTAATTCGTGCTATCTGGACGAATAATTAATAGCTTTGTCAACAACATGCGTTTATTCAATACACATACAACATAATAATTCATACATCGAACCCGACCCGAATTCCGAACCCGTTCCAAATATAGTATATAGGATTTCATCAACATCCCCTTTTCTTTAGAAAATTTGTCAAAATTTCTTTCAAAACATCAAATTTCATAAACAAGTAAACTTTCATCATTTTACACACATAAAATGAATAATGCACTCATCTAGCACAAAATGTCACTGAAATGTTCAGTATCCGACCTATAGACACAAAATGATCAATTGCAATTTACATGTACACAATGACTAGAAAATCAAACGACTAAATGACTAAATATCTTAATACAAAGTCCATTAACCAGTAATATAGTCTTTCAGATAAGCTGGTTTTCTCCTTTCGCGCACAGGTCTTCCTTCACGGATCAGTTCACTTGGCGTTGGTACGGTAAGTTCAACGAACGGTGTTTCTGGTGCGCTTACGCTAACGGTAGAGGTCGGATTGTTCACTGGCTTAGAGTCTGTTACAATGTTTCTCTGTATGCCGCCTGAATTATCATCTGGGACTGAACGCATCGGTGAGCGGTCACGACTGTAGAAATTGACTGCGGTAGGTCGCACATGAATTCTGTTTCTACGATAAGTGGTTCCATTCTGGTCCTTGACGATGTATGTCCTTGGTCCAAGAATGCCATTAATTTCCCCGAGTCTCCAGTTGCGTCCCTCTAGATGCTGGAAGAATACTGCTTGACCAACGTCCAATTCACTCTGCTCGCGAGACATCCTGTCAAACGATTTCTTTACTGTCTGTCTGCATTGATTCCTCTTCTTGATGAATGCATCAGTATCTGGTTTCTCGAGTTTCTGTGGAAAATATGGAATCATGCCACGCACTTTCCTGTTAAACATAATTTCTGCAGGACTCATACCAGTATCCTGTTTTGGTGTATTTCTTTGCTTGAGAATTGCTTGGTACGGTAAGTTCAACGGACGGTGTTTCTGGTGCGCTTACGCTAACGGTAGAGGTCGGATTGTTCACTGGCTTAGAGTCTGTTACAATGTTTCTTTGTATGCCGCCTGAATTATCATCTGGGACTGAACGCATCGGTGAGCGGTCACGACTGTAGAAATTGACTGCGGTAGGTCGCACATGAATTCTGTTTCTACGATAAGTGGTTCCATTCTGGTCCTTGACGATGTATGTCCTTGGTCCAAGAATGCCATTAATTTCCCCGAGTCTCCAGTTGCGTCCCTCTAGATGCTGGAAGAATACTGCTTGACCAACGTCCAATTCACTCTACTCGCGAGACATCCTGTCAAACGATTTCTTTACTGTCTGTCTGCGTTGATTCCTCTTCTTGATGAATGCATCAGTTTCTGGTTTCTCGAGTTTCTGTGGAAAATGTGGAATCATGCCACGCACTTTCCTGTTAAACATAATTTCTGCAGGACTCATACCAGTATCCTGTTTTGGTGTATTTCTTTGCTTGAGAATTGCTTCATAAGGATCAGTCTTCTCAACTTCACATTTCCTTAACAATGTCTTCATGATTTTAACAGCTGACTCGGCCTTGCCATTGGCTTGTTGATGCATCGGCGATGATGTCATGTGAGTGATACCCCACTTCTTTGCAAAATCTTGGAATTCTTGGCTTACAAACTGTGGTCCTCCATCAGACATGATTACATTTGGAATTCCAAATCGAGCAAATTGTTTCTTGAGTAAAGCTATTACTCTGGAGCTTGTCAAAGATGTAAGCAAATCAATTTCGATGAAACTTGAGAAATAGTCAACTGCAATCAAATAATGCTTTCCATTCAGCTCAAACAGGTCAAGTCCTATTTTCTGCCATGGAGTAGATCCTTCTGCATGCTGCATCAATGGAATATTTTGGTTCTTTGGTTTACTTTCTTGACATATTGAACAACAATCGGCCAACTGCTTGATATCTGATTTCATTCCAGGCCAAAATATTGTTCCTCTTGCCCTCCCCAGCATGCTATCAGATCCAAAGTGAGCCTTGTGAAGTCTGGCCTTCATTTCATTTCTCAAAGATTTAGGGATAATCACAGCTTCCCCTTTGAGCATAAGTCCATCACTAAATGATATAGTGTCTCGGAAGTCAAAGTAATGGCGAATTCTCTGTGGCATTTCAAGTTTCTGCTCCGGTCATCCGTTCATCACGGCTTCCTTGAGAATTGCATTTCCTCGTCAATCTCTGTTGCTTCCTTTATTTCACTTAGGCGAGCATCAGGAATATCACATGGTTCGTCACTCTTCAAAGCCATGATTCTAAGTCTTTCATTAACATTACCCTCCTCACTCTTCAGATATGCGCGACTCAAAGTATCTACTATTGTAAGGTTAGTTCCCTTGACATATACAAAGTCAAAATCATACCGGTTCCATCTCATCATGATGTCCTGTAGTCGCTTCGGTGAAATTGCAAGAGGTTTCTTCAGGATGGCCTCTAATGGTTTATGGTCATTCTGTATCGTCACATTACGGCCATATGTATACTGGTCAAAACGTTCCAGACCGTATAACACTGACAACGCTTCTTTCTCGATCTGCGCCCAGTTTCTCTCGGACACTGTCAGTGATCTAGATGCATACTCCACCGGTCTACCTTCCTGCAGGAGAACTGCACCAATGCCGTCTTTACTACTGTCCACTTGTACTACTACTTCCTTTCCAGGGTCAAAGTACGCTAGTACAGGAGTTTCTGTCAGCATCTTCTTGATTCTCTGAAATGCTGCTTCACAGTCTTTAGACCAATGCCATGCCTTATCTTTGCGAGTGAGTTCTCTGAGTGGCTCCATTATGGTAGATAGGTCTGGAAGGAACTTTGCCATGTACTGGACCATGCCACACAGTCTCTTGATTCCTGTTACATCAGTAGGAGGTTGCATTTCATTGATGGCTTTTACTTTCTTGTCATCAATTTTCACTCCATCTCTGGAAATAACATGTCCATGAAATGAGATTTCTTTCAGTCCAATCTCTTGTTTTTCTTTGTTCAAGATGATGTGTTTCTCCTCACATCTCTCCAACACTTTTCTCAGTTTTAAATCATGGTCTTGCTCAGCTTCTCCGTCATTCTCTCCACCGCCCGCTATGACGATATCGTCCACCACGCTGAAAACACCTGTCATGTTTCCAAATACTTCGTCCAGTTTCCTCTGGAATATTTCACTTGATACCTTTAGTCCGAAAGGTAATCTCGCCCATCTATACCTTCCAAAAGGAGTTATCATTGTCGTTAATCTGCTGGATTCCTCGTCCAACTTCACATGCCAAAAAGCCTCTTTGACGTCAAGTTATGTGAAGGTTCTGGCCTTACTGAGCTGTGGTAGAATGTCATCAAGAACAGGTAAGCGATAATGTTCTCTCATCAATGCTGTGTTGAGTGCTTGTGGGTCAATACACAATCTTAGCTTGCCGTTGGCTTTACGAGCAATAGCCATCTGGCTGACCTATGGAGTAGGCTCTGTGATCGGAATAAGTACTCCTCTATCTTCAAGCTTCTGAAGTTCCTCACGTACCAAACTCTGAAGTGCGATAGGGATCTTCCTGCAGGGAAGAGTTTTGGGTTTCACGTTTGGGTCGACATGTAGATGCGCTGTTCCCAAATCACCTAAGTCACTGCTTGAAACACTGGCTATGAATTTCTCATTATTTATGGTAATCAACTTCAATTTCTGCACTGCTTCAAGTCCAAGTAAACATGTGTAATGGTTTGGAACAACAATGAATCTGAGTTGATACTTCTCATTTGTACGTGGATTGACGACTGTCAGATCTGCTTCACCAAGCGGTTTCATGTTTGTCTTGTTCCACATGTTCAAGTGGATTTTAGTGGGCTTGCATTGCTCCTTGCGGACATAACGCTGAGAGATTGTATTCACATCTGCGGCGCTATCGAGTTGAAATCTAATGTCACACTCATTGATACGCATTATTGCAGTCACTTCTTTGCCACCAGAACTTACGGCTTTTAACCATTGGTCCTCGTTGAATTCTTCTTCCTGACAGACTGAATGTATCTTCTTACACTTTGCTTTGAAGTGATTCCTTCCCCCACATTGTTCACAGCACTTTCCCCATGCTGGACACTTTTGTTTTCCTGGTTCGTGTTTGTACCCACAGAATTCACAGTCCTTTTTCTTATACGGAGTTTGTTTAGTCTTTGGAATTTCCTTCTTTTTCTCTGTCTTCTGTTTACTGTGCATGTACTTGTCAGATTTGTGTAGCTTGTTCACTTTCAGAGTGGTTTCACGTAGTTCCTTCACTTGTCTGTTCGATTGTTCATACGCCCTACATACTTGTATAGTTCTGTCGAGTGTGAGTTTGTCCTCTCTGAGTAGAAGTTCCTGTAACTTTCCAGTGACCGTGAACACTATTTTGTCTCTCATCATTCTTTCAGGTTCTTTAAAGTTGCAAGATGCTGCACGGGTCTTCAGGTCTGTGAGAAAACTGTCAAATGGATCTTGGTATGGGAGCTTCCAAAATCTGTGTGATTCAAGTACCTCATTTGATCTGGGGTTACAATAAGATTGTAATTTCTCAAACAGTTTTTCAGGGTCATTCTCGTCGTTAACATTGTCCCATTTGAATTGGTCATAAATTTCTACCACGTGGGGGCCTCCAACTGAGTATAATGGCTACCTGCACTTCTTTGGCCTTCTCTAGGCCACCGGAAGCTGCGAGATACACCTCGACCTGTCTTTTTCATTTCTTGTAATTTTCTGACACATTTCCTGTTGTTAATTCTAACTCAGGCGGTAATCGAAAAGGGCAGTTATATACCTGCACTGGGGTTGGTTCTGCTTCGCCCATGTTTCGTATATGCAAAATGGCGGATGCACGTGGTTGCACAAAAAGTCAAACTTTACTGGTACAAATATCAGTTAGAAATAATCAAAGTCACCTTTTGCCTGCTTATATGGAGCGTTGAGACGTTTTCAGAGTCCACGCACCGCTGCATCCATGTTAATTCGTGCTATCTGGACGAATAATTAATAGCTTTGTCAACAACATGCGTTTATTCAATACACATACAACATAATAATACATACATCGAACCCGACCCGAATTCCGAACCCGTTCCAAATATAGTATATAGCATTTCATCAACAATATGTACATATGTATTAAGTTTCGACGTTTTTAAACGGAAACGGGGATGCCATTGTTTTAAAATTGTAAGAGGACAAGCCATTTAAAAAAAACTCCATTGACCGGTCAATCCAATGGTGTGAAAAATTTAATGTATGAAGAATTTCTAAGATGAAAGGTCTGTCTGCCTTTGATGTTTTTTCCCTAGAAGACAAATTAAGTGTTAATGAAATGAATTTCCAATATGTTGTGCTTGACATTGCTAATAAAATCGGAGCATCCTATGGAAATACTGATAGTTTTTTTTGAAAATTGATTTTCATATGGAAAATGAAAGTGTGATATGATACCTTAACTCTTCTTTAGAACAAAAATGGAGAGGAAATAAAGTGTTCTGTAGATTTTCCAACTAGATTTGAGTTTGGGGTTCACATTCCTTCTATAATGTTAGGTGACATATTTAATTTACGGGACCTCAAAGTTTCTCCCTAAGTTTTAAATTGTCTATGTTAAGTAAGCTTGTTATGACCTTATGGTCATTGAAACGAGATGAAAATTTCCAGGATTGTTACAAAATGACTCTCTCTTATAATCGACTCTTGCGTTTGTTTTCTCCTCATCACGAAATAAAAGAGAGAAATTCCACGAATTTTTTTAAATAACTCTGTTACATTCATTATAGAATAATATTTGATGATTGGAAATTCATGAAAATTCATTAAACTAATTTCAAGAAATTTTATCAAAATATTAAATCAGACATATCTTAAAAATTTAAGACCCAGACTTATGTTTATGTGGGTACAGTCCACTAATTGTTTTCCCATAGGCGACAATGTTAACGTTTCTTCTCATAGCGATGTCCCTAATTTTCGTTCGGTAGTGAGTGACCCCTCAAATCAAAGCACATCAACTTGTCTTTCCTTGGTTAAAATCTCGAGGTGGCATGTCAGATTTGTTTTCCGGCAAAATGCGTCTGTCTGCGGGAACCTCTAAAAATGAAAGTGAAAGTAGGGGAATTTCAGATTTCTCACTGGCGGTATAATACACAAAATAATTCGGCTGATCTTCTTGATAAATTACATTTTCAAAGCTTTTTTGGTAGGAAAGATACTCCTTATCAACAAGTGTAAGGCTCAGTTAAGTACACCTGCCCAATTTTTCTTATGCAAGTCTGCAATTTAAGGAACTTGTAATTTTTTCTGCACTACTTTCTTCTCCTACCGATTCTAAAAATAATTAGTGGGATGTACCCAATATGAAAAAGCATTTTTTTT